GGGGGGGGGGGGGGGGGGGGGGGGGGCATGCCATGTCAGGGAGGGCTGCCCGGTGCAAGGAGCCGACAGGAGCACACCAGAAAGAGGGAGCGAGAGCAGAAAGGAGGGCGTTCGCACCGGAGAGGAGGATGTCCACATGTGGCCACCACTCGACCGCACGCTTGAGGATGCCGTACAGCCGGAGGAGCTGGTCTGGCCGGGCGAAGGGGCAGCCCGGTGGCCTGGGGGGAGGGTCGTCGGCGGGGGCAGCACACGCATGGCAGTCACAGACCACCAGCACCAGGAGGGCGGTGCTCGGGTCGGGCAGCTGGTCGAGCAGCCGGTGCGCGGCAGCCTCGATGGCATCGGGCCCGGGGGCCGGACAGGCTGCCGAGTCGGGGGCCGGCTCCGGCGAGGCCGGGCCGATGTCCTGGTGGATGCACCGCCAGTCGGGATCGCTGGCGGCCCCGGGGGCGGCGATGAGGCAGTGCTCGCGGGCCTCGGAGGAGACGACATACGGCGCCGGGGCCCGGGGCTCGGGGTCGTGAGCGGTTGGGGCCCGCGCATCGCCGGCGAGGGAGGCCCACCGGCCGTGGATGAGGCCGCGCTGGCGGGCCAGGTGCCAGACGTGGCGAGCGCGCTGACGCGCGTCGGGCGCCGGGGACGCCTCGGCCAGGGGGCTGACCGGCAGGAGGAGGATGTACTGGGCGCGACGGCGGAGGGCGGCCGAGAGGGCGGCCGCGCGGCCGGCCACATCCAGCTGGCGCTGCTGGCGCTCCTGGAGCAGCAGCACGCCGGTCGACGGCCGGGGAGGGGGCCGGCGCGGGGCCGGCCGGTCGGCGCGGGATGCCTGCGCCGCGGTGGGCCTCGCTCCGGACACCTCGGCCATGGTGGCGGTGTGGTGGTGAGGGCGTGTCCCGGCGGGGCGCGCGGAACAAAAGACAGAAAGGAAGGCAACAGGGAGCACGGGAAAAGGAAATTGGGGGACAGCGAAGTGTGCAACACGAGCAAGATAACGGAGCAGCAGATCCCGCCGACAAACCCGAGCGCAAAAACAAAAAAAAAAGGATGCCCACATGACGATCGCGCTTGAGTGTGGTTTCTCCCTCCCCCTCCGGCGGGCTCTCCGCGCCGGCCGCCGAGCTGTGGGGAACCCCGGGCCTGCGGGGCGGCCGGGTCCGGTGCGCTGGCGGCTGCGATCAAGCCACCGTTCCGGCCGGGAGGGGGGGGGGGGGCATCAGCCAGGCCCCCCCCCCCCCCCCCAATCCGCACAATGAGGGGCCGGGGGGGGGGGGGGGGGGGGAAAAAACCCCCCACCCCCCGGCGGGGGGGGGGGGGGGGGGGGGGGGGCGCCAGGCCCCCCCCCCCCCCCCCAATCCGCACAATGAGCGAGCCGAGAGGGGCGCGGTGGGGGGAACAACTGCCACACACCCAGGCGGGGTGGGTGGGCAAGTCCTGGGACCTTGTCCTTTTC